GACAATGAAGAAATTGTTCAGTTTTAGAGGTGGGAAAAAGACCCCGGATAAATATTTCAGGGACATCCCATGGACTCAGGTAAGGACTGAAAGCCCAATCCACGTGTGGACAGAGCCGGATTCAAACTCAGGCCACCAAAGATGGGAGGCAAGGAAGGAAACACTGCGCCAGCTGACTCCCCATGCTGAAAAGACATTTTAGAAAGATCACATTCACTTGGAAAAGATTCTCTAATTTATTTGCTCATTTCTGACTGATCATCACCATTCACACTGTAATGTTATTTTGAGAGAGTGAATAATGAAAACAGTGACTATTTAAAATCAAACAACCTTCAAGAAGAGACATTTCCCAGTTTGGTTAAGTTCTTGATTGGACAAAAGCACTATGTGTCCATCTGCGACAAAAAATGAAGTCCTACATGCACATCAATTTTTTGTATTTTAAAGTAATTTTGTTTTAGTTTGTGTTAGAAAGAGCACACCGAGCTAGCTCTGTTTTAATCCATTGTTCAGTTTGGCATCCTTACATGCACAGGCAACCAATGAAACAAGGCTATTGTACCATATTCGAAGGTCGAGGAAGTCCATCCTGTCGTGCTTTTTGTAGTTGGCCCCATCATGTACAAAGCAGAAAAGAGCAGCACCACAATGACCAGTGCGGCTAGCAGGCAGACGAGACAGCAGCGCGATGAGCTATAGGAGAGTCTGGGCTGCCTGTAGCGGGATCTGTGAGTATCCTTGTAGAACTCAATCTCCTCCTCCGAGTCGTAGCCATTCTTGGCCGGCGGCAGGAGGCGACCATTCTGGCTGCCGCCCTCCCCAAAATCGAAGAGGAGGTTTTCCTCATCTGGATCATCATCTAACCTTGTCGTCCTGGTGGAGTCCTTCCGACTAAACGTGTCCAGTGGCAAGCGCTCATAGCGAGGCTTGCGGTGGGTTCCACCTGACAATTGGGAAATAATATAATGACTAAACCAAATGTAACAAATTGTGTAATTATGACACAGTGTAAAAATATCAGACACATTTACCCTGTGTGGGAAAGAATGTATAGAATTCAATCACTCTCCGCTTTTTAGGGTACGTACAAAGTCTACAAGGAATCCTGGATATTTTACAGTACATGTATTTTCAAACAAATTCTGAAGACTTTCTTACTCTTGAATATTTCTGTGAAGTACTTAGATCTGTTTGGGGTGAGAAAGAGGATGTTAAGATGAAGATGTTACCCCTCACACAGATCTTGTCATTGTGCCTCTCTGACATGTCTCAGCCTCATAGTTCCAGGGGTAAAGACTGTGTAGTTATGTATTTGGTTCATTCAACTTTTTAATGTAGTCCAAAAATTGTTAAAGATTCTATGTAAAAGATGTACAAGAACACTTGAACTAGTGAATCGGATAATTTCCCTTTGTCAACACTTGAATAGTGATGACTTATACCTTTCAGATGTAGCATTATAGATGTGGTATAACTGTTACGCCCCAACTATAGTTGGGACAGTCCCAACTGTTGTGCTGGCCCAACCATTGTCGACCAATGTCTGTGGGAAATGTCTTGACATTATCCAAGTCAATGTGTCTCACACTTGACACAGTTCATCTAAAATGTGGCACTTTATCTGTTCATCTAGCCCTATGACCAATGACATAACATTTGTAAATAATATGACTTTGGCACATGCTGGGCACATCATGCACGTGCACACAAGACCTCGCTGCTGAAGTTGGGCTGGCCAAACTTTGTACCACTCTAGTTGGGCCCGTCCCAACTATAGTTGGGACTGATGCTATAGTTGGGGCGTAACATAACCATTGACATGATGGTGGTAGAAACAGATGACAATGCAAAACTTTGAGAGACAATGTCTAAATGTTAAGAGGGGTTTTCATGGGTCTGCAGATTCCTAATCCTAGTCTCATTACTCGGACTAAAAATGAACATGAATTAAAAAGTCATGCAAGTACAGTCCATCCAATTAAAGCATAAGTTAGTCCACGATCCTGCCTGTCCTGACGATCAACTTGATCAAAATGGCACTTGGTTAATGCATTGAGCTGGGTTAGGAAAAGATGTCACAATACTCATAAATTGTTTCAAGCTCTTTTCAGTACAGTCACACAGAGGCTGAACAAAACTTTTCACTCACCATTGAAAAAAGATCCCATTCCTGTTTTGCAATCTCAAATCCCATTCACTCTTAAGTTTAATTATTTTGGGACTGGGAGCATGATAATATCATATGGACTGGCTGGTCGTTTACAAATTACATAGTCGGAACTTCATCTGTTGATTACACGCCGTTTTCCCTCCCAACGTTCAACTCGGCATTTAATATTAAGGTAGCAATCCCTGGTAAATTAAGAACATGGTATTTTGTGCGATCATGGAGGAAGGAAAAGAGACGTACGGCATCGGGCATGATACGCAAACACGTCCTCCCGTTTTGTTACGGTTGAATGATCACTTTTGTACTTCCGGATACTAAGGTCTAATACCCTATTACAAGTCATGTTGTATGAATGCTAAACACGAAGTTTTTATGTACCAGACTAAACCAAATGCCTGATCCATCCAAGCGGTTCGTACCGTACCGGTACCAAGGAACACGATCTGCCCTGGGGATGGGGCTTAAGGGTGCAGTCTGTTAGCCCCGCAGTATCTTTTGAAAAAAGGAGCTTGGTTTGCCCCAAAAATGGTGAGATTGTGTAAATCGTTGCAAGGATGAAATCCCTGGGTCTTTGAGCTTTCATATGAGAGCAGAAAGGCTAAAAACTACGGTTGAAAAATAGTCCCTAAGTGCCCCAGAAAGTTTAGGGTTGCCACTTGAAAAATGGCGACAATCGGACAAAGCACTTTTCGGGGGGTGATTTTGTTTTGTGGGATTAATTAAAAATGTAATTGGTTAACCCACCAAAAAATGAAAAGAAATTGAAAGATTAGGGACCAGACAATAATTTCATTTGTGTTTCCGAAATCTCAGGGATGTTGGTATACATGTTATTGAGCCCCGAACAGTGCTGATTTTACGTTGTTTTCAATGGGGCTTGTATTAGTGGACTCATGGAGAAATATGGTGGACTGTACCTTGGTACAGGCTCAATTTTGAAGCGTTGTCATTAGACAACGATTGGTCTCACGTCACACGTTCATCGCGTATATAGCGTGAAGGAATAACATTTTCTTACATAGAGGCTTACGAAAGATTTTATTTCGAACAATCGCATCTCCTGAAAATAATTACATGTAATTTAATTTAATTTAAAAATCCCACCTTTACTACGCAAGGGTGGGATTTTTTAAAGACAAGGAGACTGGGCCACGGCAAATACCATGGATTAGTGACTGATATGCAAAAGTAATACAGCTTTTTAACGGAGTGGTTCCCCAGGAAAGACTGGTACCATGCGCACAGCATAAGACATCATTTTACAACGAGGATGAGATGTGAAACCAGTTACAATCAACACGCAATTACTAGCATGCGTCCATGATTACTAGCATGTAGCACACATGAAATTATCTAAAACGAGAATTTTTTGTCACTTAGATCGAACCAACCGTGGTAAACCTTTAGCTAAATCTTTATCCGCTACATAAAAACGTAATGTTGGTAGAATTTTCACCACAACTAACATTACAGATTAACGTAGCGTTCGGGGACCATGCTTGGACGTGTGTACCCTAGCCCATAATGTTTTCTATGACGTCACACACACGATAGGTTTTAGGTTTTCGTGGCGAAGTCGTTTTTAGGCAAGAGAATTTTGCACGATTTGTTTGACTGTTCATCGCAACCCAAACCACCATGTCTGCTCAAGAGCAGATGCGTAAAATGCTCGACGAGCTTATGGGAACAAGCAGAAATGGTGAGTAAACAGGACTGTCTGGGTGAATTGAATTAGGTTATCTAATTGAGGCGGCGGGTGTCGCGATGTCGCCTTCGCGGTCACTTCATCATATTCACTAGTTCACCTCGTTTCCACTTCGTCCCTACCGCGTCGTCCCATCCCCACATCGCCCTGTCCGCACACCGCCCCACCGCCACCTTGGCCTTTTCACCCCAGCCGTGCTTGTGTTTGGAAACTTTAATTAGTTACACCGACAGATTTCAGAGCTAAAATAGTAAGAGTCTTTACCATGTTTAGGCCTACAAAAAGGCTGCAGCTCAATAAACAATAGGCCTACCAACAGACCTGGCCTAAGGAGGCCTTAACCTTTTCGACGTTTGCAGTGCATTATGGGTTTGGATGACAAAAAAGCAATGCGTTTATACACAACCCTATGGGGGAAGTAAACCAGTCAGAAATCAATTTAGGTCTACAATTTTCTACTAAATGTTTTTCATGTATCTGCGCATCAACTCATAGAGGCATGTATGTTATCAGATTATACAAGAAACATTTTCAAAATAAGTTTTCAAATGTTTGTAATCTTGAAGTTGAAGAAATAATTGGGATAACTCCAAATTGTATTTTTTTAAGGGCACCAGTCACTCTACAGGCTGAAAATAAACGTGACTGGTCAATGCGGTTTGAATGAGCTACAAGTCATAATTTTGATTGGACAGTACTCAAGCATTGATATTCACTATCTTAGTCAAAGCATGGTCCATAACAAAGAGTGGTTTTATTCAAAAGGATTCTCCGAATTTTCCTTTTCTGTCAAGCGTTAAACTTTGAAGTTTGTGAATATCTTTGCCCCAAATCAATAATTCAACGCTGTCAGAAGGGGATGGCTTTAACTGGAATATAAAATAAAATGGAAACAGATTAACGGTTTGCAGGTACACCTCTCCCATAGGGTGTGCATAAAATGCATTTCATGTTTGACATCCAAACCATAATGCACTGGGAACGTCGAAAAGGTTTATTGCCAGATTGCAGAATAGGCCGCCAAGGCATGCTAGGCCAGTACCCCACCCACCACCCAGCAAGGTTAGCCTTACTTTCAGGTTTGTGATTCTGAATGTGCCTGTTTACTCTGTCTAAAACTGGGAAAGAAAGAGTTCCATGTACAGGCTTCCATAGAAAGACTTCCATGTATGGATGCCACTTGATACCCTGTGCACAAACCCTATGAGACTGGTCAGAAAAATTGGTGTTTTCTCAGTAAACGACTTTGTTTCTTTTCCCCCTAAATTGAACTTTTCTGGACATGTTTTTGCTTTCTGATGGCTAATAGGTCACTGTAGGGAATAATTACTAGTGTCTGTATATGGAACTTTGCCTAACGAACACCACTCGACACCCTGTGCACAAACCTTATGAGACTGGTCTGAAAATTTCTACAAATGACTTATTTTTTTCCCTCCTAAATTGAACTTTTCTGGACGTTTTTGCTTTCTGATGACCAATAGGTCACTATAGGGATAATTGCTGGCATCCGTACATGGAACTCTTCCCTAAAACCGCACTTTTTCAGTCAAATCTCGCCCCCAAAAGCCGTCCATGGTAAAAAAAAATTCTCATTAACGTGTGGCCTCAATGGTTTTTTGAACTGTCCACCTGCTATTTTTGCAAAATTCAGATCTTTTACGTAGGATCTTGCCTCGCTTCAACAAACGATCTGCACATTTGGCAACATACTGCGGTACATGTCCGTTAAACAGAAGACAGATTCTTGTCCTAGCCTTGTCCTCCGAACATACAGTGGAACACCGCTATGCCGAACATTCGGCTGTACCGAACATCGTCCTTGGCTCCCAATAATTTGTGCACAGAACCTACCGAACACTATTCAGTTGCCGTTTTTAATTCCCAAACGTCAACATGACAAAACAGTCAGTGTTTTTTTTTTGTTGGAAAGTGACAAGTGGCCATTATTTCCCCAAGGATTAGAAGGGAAAGCCACTAGTTGTCAACGGTATTGAATAGACACTGGTTTTGCGACTCCACATGATCAGGTGTGGAAGAAAACCGCACGTACATGCACGGTGGCATTGCATTAACAATAGTCTAAAGAGGGTGCCGCTGATACACAAATCAACCGAAATTCGCCACAGCATGCATCAGAGATCGATCCTTAGCGGTAGTTTCACGACTTGTAGGATAAACTTGATATCAATTTTTTGACTCCAGTTTAAATTAAAAACAAAAATAATTAACAGATACATTTCTAGAAACCTTAAACTTGAATGCAATGGCAAAACATCACGAAAACAGTGAGCCAAGTCATCATAAGAGGGTGCACTTTGGTTAGACAAGAGAGGGCACTATTCAACATGGCAACTAAACGTTCGGCAGTTAAATTTGCTATATCGAACGACCGCTGTACCGAACATTTAGCGTGGGCCCCATCTTGTTCGTTATAGTGGCGTTCCACTGTATATAGTAAAGGTGGTGACCAGTCCAATGACGTACAATGCATGCATCACCTCATTGGCAACCTTGACTCTCTGGGTCGTGTGCGCATTCCTTACGGGAAACAAACATTACAAGGCAAGATGGTACCCAAGGAAATGAGGTTGCATTATTGGACTGGTTGGTGTCCCTATTACATTAGGAGGACGGGACAGGAACCAGTGCGGACACACGAAAGGGTGCAGCCCAATGTAAAAATGTTGAAGAGAGGTAAAATCGTAGTAAAAGGTCTGAATTTGCCAAAAATAACGCTTTTTGGGGACACTGCTGTGGTGTGCTCATTTGCATTTTTTTTGGAAATTCGGCTTGGTTTTGGCCCAATGTTTCTTGGTACAAAGTACGAAGGTGTGTAAGCTACCATACGTAGAACTCTTGGGGGGGGGAATGGAGTAGCATTTCTTTGGGTATACAACCATCACAAAATCTCTGTTCTTGCCCTGTTAAGCATCATGTAGAGGCTATGGTGAAAAAGGCTTGTTTTCTGTGGGGTTCATGGAGGCAGGGTGGACATCTGACCCCACAGTTCTGGGGGGGGGTAGCACCCAGAGAGTGCCTAACAATCCTGGGAGTAGATTAGCTTAACCGACATTCTCATGGACAGACATCCGGGAACTTCTGTATATTATGGAATAACACAGAGAGTAAATTTGCCTCTTTACCTTGTGTTAAAATTTCATAGTAATGTCATGCCGACCGTGAGAATGACCTATATGACCTAGAAGCTGGCTACGAGGTCAAACTACACTGTCAGACTAATCTCATGGAATTTTCACCTCACACCTGCATAACTAGTGATTTAACATGTACGTGTATAAATTTTTAGTGGCAGGGTATTCTGCTAATAGCCTAATTTTTTCCTTGTATTTAATCCTTTCGTATGAGACATTTCAGCTGCATCATGTAGGCTTAATATCGACAGTGTTAACAGTTAGGATCATTTTTGTGATCATGTTTATTTCTTGACACCTCTAACTTGGCTGGGTAGCCAAATCATCAACATTGGAACCTTTGCCTGGGTTAAAACTAACAAAAGACATGAACAGTTTCGATTGGAGCGAAGTGGCGATAGGGGGGATAGAAATGGGACAAAGTGGGGATGGGAGAAGTGGCATTGGGGCAAAAGGACAATGGGGCGGAGTGGTTGGGGCCCAAGCGGTCAGGGGCGAAGTGGAAATTTGGCGACCTGACTGTAAAGCATTGAGACACAACTAAACAATTGTCTCTGTTCATCGTGCCCATTGTCACAAAAAAAACACCATTTGCAAATTTTGCCCAACTGATGTTTCTGTTGAGTGTTGGAAAACAGAAGTTGCTTAACATTATCTGTTGAACTAGCAACAAAAAGGCTAGCTCAAAAATAAAAAATCTCATTCCAGCTTTGGTTGTTGAAAGTAAATTGCAACTCCTGAAAATTAAAGTAAAAAGTTGCACTTGCATGCTATGAATGATGCTATTGACCAAGTTGCCGGATGATCTGGTGATCAAATTGCAAACACATGAAACATGAACAGTTTTGTTTTTCCTCTTTTTTTTTGCATTTTTATGCATATGGTTGATGTGTGTTTGAGCATCAAACTGATCAATACATGTAGATCTCTCTCTCTTTGGGGCCATCTTTGTTAGAAAATTGCTACTGCGTATACAGCACCATCAGGCGTGTGTGTGTGCTTGGTGCGCAAAAAGTTCTAAACTCCCGTGCCTGCTGATCCAAATGTGCTCAAAATACGACCCAACCAATGCGCTTCATGAAAAGTGATCAATCTGTAGGAAGCGACGTCATTTGAGAGAGACCTATAGCCGAGCAGTTTCCCTACCGTGACTGAGTTGCTTAGCCTGATCATGGCATGCATGATTAATCATGGTGTTTGTTGTGTCAGAACAAATCTGTACATTGCAGACATGTAGACAATAAGCTAAGTGTCGGCCTTGTCAAGATAATGCTTGTCTGATATCTTTTTAGAAATAACTTCTGAACAAGTCAAAGAAGTCGATTGTTGAAAGCAGTTAATTTATACAACAGAATATATCTGGGACAAAAAACAGACCTAAACCCTTTTATTTACAGCTTTCTTTGGCCCGTCTGTTGTAGGATCACAATGTTTGACAGCGTCTAAAGAAAGTGTCTTCCTTTTACGACAAGCAGTTGCCGTGAGTTGTTCGTTATATTAAATGTGTTCTTGTTTGGGTTGAGCAGTTAGATGGTGCCTCAACCCCCCAAAAACATTGATTTGCTAGTGGCTGCCTTACACATGGCTACAGGCACATATCATATCTGTTTTACCCAAAAAAAACTTGATCTTGTTGGTGAGAATTGCATGCTTGTACTAAATAAAGTCTGCAGCTGGAGGAAAATCAGCTAAACTTGTTTAATTTTAGCTTTCATTGGCTGAATATCTTTGTTCTGTGGACATTGGTAAGTTGAACTCTTCCTTTTAGTGTTCGCGTACAGTGTACTAGTTGAAAAAAAATTTATTGACAATTGACCCTTTCCCCTTTGATCTTTTAGCTGAAGGAAAAAAATCACATTTAGGTTTGAGCTTTAAATAGTGAGAGGGATATTCTTGTAGCGGAAGTGCTCTTACATGTACCAAAGATTCACAAATATTTTAGTTCGTAGCCATTACCATGCTAAATTGAACAATATTCTACATTTTATTTCAATGGTCCTTGGGGGCTAGTGTTAATAAATTTGGCAACCTTCGTTCTTTGAAATGTTCATCATGACTTGTGTTAAAAAGTACCCTTTTAATTTTTGTAATTTTGTGCCAGCCTCTTAAAATGAACTGACGAAGGAAAGTGGTAAAAGATCTCTGGAAATTGCAGTGATCTAGTAGAAATGTAAAACAGTGCTGGAAACTCACTTCACTCAATTCGGAAAAGAATTATGGAGGCAGTCTCTCAACTACCGCTAGAACTTTTGTTTATGTAACTCAATGAGACAATGAGATCTTTCTTGAGAGCTTCAATTTCCTTTGGACCAGGAGCCAGTATAATAAAGACCATGATTTAAGCCATTGCGTGCTGTGGTCATGTTTTTAAAACACTGACATAGACTTTTTTATTTTTTGCATATCCTGTTTATACTGAAAAAGTAAGCTGATCAAACACCCTCTTTTCCATTGGAGGGAAATTTTTGACCAATCAGCAGATGCTGACTAAAGCCCCAATTGTAGTTGACACTCTATACCAGAATAACCTGCGACACGACCATATTCAGTATAAGTAGACTGTAGAATCAACACCTGAACCAATAACGTTGGTTAATTTTGAAAACAAAATTTGCTTTTTTGAAATAGTGTCCAAAATGAATAAAATGCACAAGAGAAAAAGTAATTTTCATACATATTTAGTAATGAGGAAGAAGTTTTTTGGGGGGGGGTTTGTAAAATTAATTCAACATTCATGTACCATAGTAATTGAGTAGCTTGAAGGAAGGACCCAACTCCAACAAAACTTTTTTTTAGTTCAAAAGAAAGAAACAAATATTTTTTAAAAAGTTGCAAAGGAAATCAATTAAGTCTCCTGGGCCAAAATGGTGGAGTTGGGCCTTTCTTTTAATGAGGTATTCAGTTGCAATTCAGGATCATTGACGGTAGATACTAAATAGGAAATCCATTTACTCTAGAGTAATTTTTTAGAAGTTCCTCAAGAAGGAGCACCAGTAAGAGGGTAAGCTTACTGAGTGTGCGCTGCTCTCTAGCTTCTTTAACCCTGTGAATTTATCACGCCAGGTGGCTAAAGGGGGCATCGTCAGTGCACCAGGTCTGCCAAAGGAGAACATGTAACGTTAGCCGGCGAGAGAATATCCTGAAAATCCACTGCTTTTGCGACACTTTCCGTGTGTATTAAATAATAATTATATTGTGTTGTGGATTACAGAGTGTGCCGAGTTAATTTGAGTTGTGACAACTCAGACAGCTACATCTATGCTGTGACTTTTCAACAATTAGTTTTGACACTTAAAACCATTTCCAAACAGCCCTGTTTGGCCTCGTCTATTTTTAGTACGTTGTGCAAAAATCACGTTTTTGTCAATTTGTTTTTTAATGAGACTAGTTCGTTACACCAAAGTCAGTTGTTCTAGACAACAGAGGCTATGCAACTTGGAAAAAAAAATTTTAACGACAGCAAGTTTTTAATGGTAATCGAGGAGAACTTATGTCCGGAGCCTTGGCACAGACCTGAATTTGCCACGGCAAATCAACTCACATCTCAAAGCAGAAAATTTGTTGCATTCAAAGCTGTCTGTCAGCAGACTTCCTTCTTTTTTCTTGTTTCTTTGTTAATTCATATGCGGCTGCAGAGCTTGCACAAAACCCAGTCCCTGAATTCTCGTATCATGTATGGTGCTTTTGGTTTGTGTGTGACAGGTGAAGAGGAAGCAATCAACCATGTCAGCTTTGAGAGCCCGCAGGTCTGTCGTGCGTTTCTGCTCAACGCTTGTCCTCACGACATTCTGGAAGGCACGGTATGCATCGCACAATTGTTTGAATTGTTTGTTATACATCGCACACGTTTGAATTTCAAAACATGAACAGAGCCCAACATGTTCCATTGGCTTGGTGCCGGCAAGATGCAGAGTTTCAATACTTCTTACAGAGCCCAAGATGTTCAAGTTAACAGTGTCGCTAAACTTCTGGCCGCCTCTGTTTCTGTTGCAGAGAATGGACTTGGGTGCTTGCAGCAAGATTCACGACCCAGCCCTGCGTGCCGACTACGAAAATGCCTCCCAGCGCAGAGAGTTTGGCTATGACGTGGACGTAAGTAGTCTTCTGAAAGCAAAACAAGGATACAGTGGCTTTCCACATGTCAAGTGTACATGGATGGCTGATGTGAACGTGTGCCTGTCATGAGTCCTGCGTAACAAAACAAAATGGAACATCTGGTATTTGTAAGTTATGTTCTTGTGAGGGAAATGCTCGCACGTTTCGGCCACAGGTAAAAGAAAAAAAAATCCCAACGTCTTTCAACAGTAGTTTTTACATTTTCAGTCGTAAGGGGTCGCTTCTTTGAACAGTTTGCGATTTTTTTTTTGGTAGGCTATGCAGCAACTGAGTGCCTTCATTGCTGAGTGTGATCATCGCACAGAAATAGCCAAGAAACGGCTGGCCGAGACGCAGGAATCTCTCAGCCAAGAAGTCAATACCAAGGTGCGTAGTGATTTTTTTGGTTTTCAAAGTTGTGTGTTTTTAGCATTATTTTTAGGCTGCAATCAGTTTAAATGACTTGCCGTACTTTACATGAGGAATGGGCAAAGTGTTTATTCATCAAGAAAGTCACTGTCCGGCTATGTTCCAAAAGAGTGAAACTTGTTTTAGGTGGGATTTTTCCTTTAAGAAAGAATAGAGATTTTTTTTGCCTTGTGAAAGGATGGATGACGTGCCTGGCTGTAATGTTAAGATAGATGTTGAAAGTTCTTCGAGCATGTTCAAGCATGTTACCTTTGGAATAATACCCGGTCAGGAAAGACGCATAAACTGATCACTGATTGTTGATAGTTTCAAAGAAATTCAGTGTCAATTTTCACTTCATTCACTACATCTTTTCATACATTGTTCCTGTTGAGAGTCATCCACTTTCCTCTTTTCTCATTGGAAGGAATGTGCAAATTTTAATGATATGCGCAGAGCAGAGCAGCTCGCTGAGCCTCGGAGTTTAGCCGACGTATAAGCCCGTCCATTCCCCGAAATTTCCCCTCCCGACACCCAACACTTTCTGACTGTGCCTCCCGTACATGACTCTCAATATTGCAATCATTCTCTCCTTGGACAGATGCACCCCATGCCAACAGCCCTCTTGCTAAGCAGCCGTTGGGTTTAATTGGAGGGAATTATAAGAGGAGTTTGTAAGTCAATAACACCAAAACCAAACACCAAATAATGTTCTCCTGATGATGATGATGATGTGTGGCTGAACTGTTCACTGCCACATACCAGTATAATATAAAAGATGTTGCTCCTATACTTGTCCTGCTTTATAGCTGAGCACTCTCTTCAGTGAATGTTAAAAAGCTGCTAAGCAAAGCTGCTGAGCTGGCCTTCACGTCTTTGATTGTTCTCCTTATCAGTGAAAGCAAGGTCTTTCCAGGAAATTTTGCATGTCTTTATAAAAAGAAAATTCATGAAGAGGCTTCCGCTTGGCAGCTTTCTGTGATATGTGTTGCAGTTAGAGAGTGAAATTCCTTTTCCACTTTTGGGAAAACAAAGAACCGTGTCTGCAGGGTGTCAGTACTAGCCAAAAAGGCCACTTGACCCAGATATGCAAAGCGGATTAAAGGATAATTGCATCTTCAGATTCTGGTATTGAATCCCCTCAAGTCCCAAGTTGGGAGAAGTCAATGTGATGCACCCCCTAGAAGTGTTTGACCTGTGTGTGTGTTCCGTTGTGGTGTGTGGTCCAGGCAGCTCGAGGAGAGGCGTGTTTTTTTAGGGTGCCACCACAGCACTGATGCTACGTGTCAATGACCGCTCCTTCCCGGTACATGAGTGACATAGCTTTTGCCTCCTCGATGCCAGACACTACGTAGGGTTCCCTGGGTTCTCAGAATGATAGTCAGCAGTGCGTCACAAGTGTGTCCTTGTGTTGCCTAGGAAATATGGTTTCCTGAAAGAAAAAAGAGGAAGCATTGTCTGACAAAAGCTGGCTTCAAAGCCATCAGGTATATCTGATACCCTCCTCTGAAAATTCTGAGTAAACTCTCCGACTTTTTGATTTTGATAAGTCACAGATGAAAACTCCAAAACTGCAAGTAGAATGCAAGTATGGAAAGGAGGGTTAAGAGGCTAGAAATCTTAAATGTGTGTGGCCTTTGCATTCAGCGCTGTAGTGGAGCTCCCTAATGGTGCAACAAGGCTTGTCCAGAGTCGCCTGGATCACACTACACGCTCCTGCGTTATGGTCTAACACCCGTCTCTCCCCCATCTCAATCCTAATGTCTCGGTAGGCCAACCGCGTCCACCTACTGGCCGAGGAGATTGGCAAGAAGCTGGCCGAGGCAGAAGCCCTGGGTGAGAAGGGAGACGTGGAGGAATCCATGAAGATCATGGCCGAGGTAGAAGAAATCAAGAAGAAGAAGTACGAGGCAGAGGTGAGGAAAGCACATCTGTTACTGCAATAGGCTGTGGGTCTGTCTTTAGTTGCATTTGGTTTTTTATTCATCACCAGCATCTTGTGTATTGCAATAAAGCAAGACATTTACCTGATGCACACAGATTTCTAATTTGACGAGTTATAGCAATGATGTGAGAGTTCATCTTGGAGTACAGGAATCTCAGTAGTCTGTTCTGAAGGGTTCTAGAAACAAATACAGTGCTGTCCAGTGCTGAGGTGTTTACTATTCTGAATAATAATAAAGCTTATGCTGCATAAAAAAAGATAGTTTTGGTTGGATTAACGTTAAACTGTGATGTATTCTGCAATTAAAAATCTTGAGATATAATTCCGGACATATCAGGTTTGCTAAACGAAGCACTGTATTTGCATTTCTTTTAAGGTACAATGTAGATTTTTGCTTTTGTTCCGTTTTTCTTTTTTTTTTTTTGGTGGGGAGGGGGAGTGAAAAGTGTTGATGGCAGGGATAATTTAAAGAATGTCAAAGATTTGAAAAAGAGGAGCTTCAAGATTCAGCAAATTATTGTCTGAGGCAACAGAGGTGTCCAAAGGACTGATTCCCAAAACAATGGACCTTTCTCCCATTAAATATGCAAATTAGATTGGCACATTCACTCTACTAGCACTGGTTGGTAAGCGAGGCGTAAACACTGTCGGCAGTGTAGTGGACTTGACTCGAGTCGGGTTCTCTGTGACGTCTTTCTTTATACATATGGATACATATTGAGACTATGCGCTGTTACTTGCTTTGCGCCCTCTTGTGTCCACTCAGTATTATGAGTTCAATTCAGAAATCCTGACTTGGCGAATCTGCCAACTGTTTGTGCACAGCAAATGGACTCATCTGCCAAACGTGGTAGCAGCCAATCACATTGCCAGACTTGTTTTAACATCGTTCATACCTGCATTATAATCATGATGAATGAATCAACAAATCTTACTACTTTGATACGTGGAAATTCTGTACACATTATGCAAGATCATTGATATGCAATTATTAATAACTGCATATTACCAACGAGGGTTCCGATTGGCTTAGCCATCAAGTCAGACTTAATGACTGGTGACGTATGACACATGTTGTACAATAAAGGCTATCAAACGATGGCACCTTATAAGGGTTATGCGAGCTGTTGGGCCAAGTGGACGACCGTGCGTACAGTCTGAAGGGATGGCAATGCAAGTCCAACTTGATTCAAGTCTAGCAGTGTAGGAGAGCTGCTCTGATCATGCTCAAACCAAACCATAACCTGGCCTGTTGAAGGTCAATCAAAACCGCAGTACAGCCTTTGTCTGACACTTCAGCAGGCTTTTCTCGAAACTAAGTGTAGTTTCAGTGTCCTGAGGTTATGGAGTAACAATTCCTTGTCTTTGTTTGGCACTCATGTCAAACTGTACTAGTACAGAAATGGCGTGTATATGCCCATAGTTGCGCTCGCATGGAGATTTGTATTGTTACATCATTGATCAAAGCAACTTTGCAAACCAGTGGTGGTAATGCGCATGCGCCCGCCTTATTTATGTATTTCATGGGAAAGGTCCATTGTTACGAGGAGGACACAGTCCCATTTGTCCCATCATCGGCCCACTATCTGCCCTTGTCCCTTTCGCAGGCACCTCCCCCCCCCCAACATCACCGTTGCTCCATCATGTTCATTTTCCCCTGCAGGAGGAATACAAGAATTCCATGCCAGCGTCCACTTACCAGCAGCAGAAGCTGCGCGTCTGCGAGGTCTGCTCGGCCTACCTGGGGCTGCAAGACAACGACCGAAGGCTGGCCGATCACTTTGGTGGCAAACTCCACCTGGGCTTCATCGAGATCCGGGAGAAGCTGCAGGACTTGCGAGTGAGTGCTTGGATTTGCTATAGCTCGGGCATTTTCTTCAACTGGGGCTTTCCCCTAATCGGTCTGATCGTGCTTTAGCACAGTGGGCCATCTACACAATTGACTCATTTTTGGAGCACAAATATAATTGTTGTGAATGTGTCTAATAAAAGATAAAGATTACATAACTGCATTTTTCATGGAATTCTAAATTATTACGTATATTCAACAAGGGTTTTGTCTTCATTACAAAGGCAGCATCTGAGAAATAAATCAATGTAATCTTTCCCTTTCCCTTTAAATCCAAAACAGACTCGAGTTGCTGAGAAAAAGGAAGCATATGAAGCTGAGCGAGCTGAACGGAGGAAGACACAGGAACAAGAACGTCTGGAGCGAGAGAGAGAACGGGAGAAGGAACGTAGAGAACGCAGGTCAGAAACTCAGAAACAAAACAGTAAATTAGTTTCATTTGTTTTCCTACTTCCTTGTCTGTGGATGTCTTGCATATATGTACATTGTGTCTCTTTCTGTCTTACCTTGGCAGAAGAGAGGCCCTTGTTTTGTTTTCTCTTAGTCGTAGGGATTGTGTAGGGGGTGTCGTAGGGATTGTGTAGGGGGTGTTGTAGGGATTTTGTAGGGGGTGTCGTAGGGATTGTGTAGGGGGTGTCGCAGGGATTG